ATTTTCATTCTTTTTCTGTGGAGATATTAGCTTCTTCAACAGATAAATCAGAAGAACTATTGGAAATTCGTGCCAATTATTTTCAGATTTCAGAGAATTACCTGGTTTGTAGCTTAGGTATGTATCTCAGCTTCAGGTACAAAAGGCCAAGTGGGATTACAAGCACCGTAAACAAAGGGGCGGGGGTGATTCTTATCAGATTCGTCACGTAAGACATTGTAAGAATCCACAATTTTATAAAAATTTTACATAAAGGTCTTAGTCCTGGATAGGATTTGTGTGTTATAACTTGTCCAAGCTCCTGAAAGCTCAAGTTCATACTGCTGTGACAGTGTACACTGTCCAAGGATGTGGTAAGTTTGAAAAGGGGCAAGTGGCAAGTACCCACGTCATGTAATTCACATGGCTGAATCAAGAGTAGTCTCTTAATAGCTGGCTGAGAGAAAGAAGCACCTTCTGAAGGTCACTTGAGTTTCATGCTTAAATTAACGTGCTTCAAATATCTGCATGGGTTTTATTTCTTTTTGTTTCTTCTCCCTGTGTAGGAAGGTGATTCCTTAAAAAAAAATACACTTTTGTGTTTCAGTTCAACACTGCAAGCTGAGTTCCCTCAGGGCACTGAGCCAGACTCACACGTTTATAAAATGTACACCGTTTTGTAATGTGAAATATTTTTGATAACTTTCTGTAAGCAGACATGAAACAGTATTGCAGAGTGCCCTAATGACATGCAGACTGGGAGAGTAGCAGTCAATAAGGGACATAAGTGACAGTTTTCTTAGTGAACACTGTAGCCAAACATAAGCCATGCTTCCAAATGTTGTCCATATGCACATGCTGGGAAATCCAGTGGCTCTGACAAGGGATTGACTGTTCCAGTGGATGTTAGGATGGGTGGATGGGACAGCAGAAAGAGATCCTGCAGCTAAAAGAGCTAAGTAGAGATGTTAGGTACTTAAGTAAGGTTTACAGGGAATTGAATTGGTAGGTCTGCCGTTCCAGGAGGATGAGTGACATCAGCAGCACTGCAGAAGCTTCAGAGAAGGACCATCAAATAATTCCAGATCTCATAGTGAAAACGTTATTGCTGTTAACATATTAACTCTATCAAATGGAAAGATTTGGTAGTGATCTGTTCAGTGGCTATGAACCTGTGTGGTAACAGAAAGTTCTCCCATATAGCAGGCAAAGATACAATGAGACCCTACCTTACATTTAAATTAGATAAAAATCATCATTATTTCTGTGGCTCATTTAAGGTGAAGATAAGTAGCTATTGAAACAGCTTAGGAAAAGTTTTTGTCTTCCCGTGACTACAAAATACTGAAAAGTACAAAAGGTCAAAAGGCTTGAAGACTTTTTGTGATTTTTCCAGCATGTTAAGTGATCAACAAAGTGCTCACAAAACATTAGATGAAAAAATGTTCATAAAGTTCCCTAAGTCAGAGCAAACTCTGGCTTGTCCTGTAAAAGGAATATGATGGAACATACTCTGGAAACACACGTAGTGTATTTATGCATATATGTACTAACAGTACACATGCACTTAAAGACAGACAACATGATAGGGACTCATAATAAACCTCTCTACTATTACAACATCTAGGTGTAAGTGTTTTCATAGGAAGAGCTAATATAGCTTGCCCAGTATGTAATTCAGAAGGGTTGTGTGTTGGGGTTTTTTTATTAACATTTGAGCAGGTGTTGAGTGAAGTCCAGTTGCACTATATTGTCTGTCCTCTTCACCACTTCATGTTCATAAATAGATCCTTTGTTATCAACCGGTGAGGTTAATCTGGGTTTCCCACATGGTTCTTCATTTGTCCTCTTTGCACACCATGTGTGTCCAGGTTCTCCCTTTTCACATCTGTGCTGCAGAAAAGGAAGGTTATTCTGGCACTGGCTGCATCTAATGCAATACTCTGATATTCTTATCCAGAGGGATTTGCCTGGGCTATTCTAGGCATCTGTTTTCAAAATTTAAAGAACTGCATTATTTTACCTTGAGAGTAGCATTTCTGTGTTTACTAGGGAATTAGATCCTTGTGAGTATAGCTGAAATGAGAACTCTAGCACTGTCTGGGGTTTGGTAGATGTGGTATATACATTTGCAGTGATTCACAGAAGAGGTAAAATGTTATCTCCTTTTTACTTGGCCAGCCTTTCTCAAAGCCACTTGTACTTTTAGCAGGAAAGTGAACTTGGTATAAGTTTGTAAGGAAGATTTCATACAGCTATAGTTTTGGGTTTTTTTCCTTTAGGAATCAGAGAATCTGGATCATGTCAAAACTACACTGATAAAGAAGCATAATTTCCAAACAGCATAATGATAATGAAAGTGGCATACAACACATTATGCCTGTGTTATTTTGTGCCATCAAGACAGAAAAGTAGATATTTAGACCACTTTCAGTGCATTTTCATACAATATAATGCTTAAAGGAACATAATGCTCAAGTGTTGTAAACAAGGCCAAATGTAAAAAACTTTGAGGAGTGAGAGGGCTAAATATCCCTCAGAAAATCTTAAAGAGTTTGATGTAATATGTATGTTGAACAAGCTGGAAGAGGGTGTAATATTCATCAGCTTAGATTTCACTTAACCTCATTTGGAGTCTCCACTGAATTTAGTCTTGTCTCAATAAAGCACTGTCTTTGCTATGAAAGAATCAAACAAGTCAATGAATGAAAGAAACCCTGACCCTACTGAAATTGGACAAAACTCTCATTGAGAGCCAGGATTTCATCTCACATGCCTAGAATTTTTCAGAGGCGTTCAAGAATATTGCAAAGCCCCCATTAGATGTCTGCATAAAAAGAGCTCCAAAGTAACATGTATTCCTCTGCTCACAGACCTTCCCATAAGGAATCTACCCACTTTCATAGTGAATTTGGGCCTCAATTTTCACAGGTTGCTGCTTTTTTTCCTCTGGGTCAGGTCTCTGAAATCAAATGTTGTCTGTGTGTGATAGCTTTTTCCAGGGGTCTGTGGATGCAGCTGAAAGCTCTGCTTTGGAAAACAGACATACTTTGGCTGTTTCATAACTTCCAGTTTTGTGCAGGAAATAAGGGCTACACATCTGGACAAGATGATTAATGATAGGTTTACAAAACCTGGGTAGAACTTAGGATTTCAGGGGCTGTTGAGCTCTTTTTCTTGTGTCTATTCAGAAGTAGAGCGACTAAACTGCAAGTTGATAGAAGGCTCAGTGTTGGTTGCAAGTTGACAGAAGGCTCAGTGTTGGTTGCATACGTTTTTTTTTTGCCAGATTCTGTCAACTTAGCTTGTGAGTCACACTGTGAGCCCAGTGGTGAACACTTCAGAAAGCAGCAGGAACCTGCATTACACTGTGCTGTGCGTAGGCAAGCAATTATGTTCTGACTGCTAGGGGAACCTGCTTAACAAATCGAGGTATAGAAAATGAGAACTACCTGATGGAGCAAACAATGAAAGAAAAAAAAGCCTCTGAATTTCACTTCTGAGGCTGCTGTGCTCAAGTGATTGATTTTTCTATTAATCTTACTCTGTTATCTCTTAACATCCCCCGCCTACCTACACACGCACGTGTTCAGCCTCGTGCCAGGGGAGTGGGAGTTAGTTTTTCCTGCAGTGTTGGTGAACTGGAGTGCTCTTGTTGCCTTGTGGAGTTACACTAGTTATGGCATATCTTATAATAGAAGAGACTTCCCCGTGCAGGTACAGCAAGGAACTCAAAATCAGACCGTGCAGAGCCTCTGCGTTTATGTAGAGCTGCAAGCAGGCCAACCAGGAGGCCCTGGGAGGCAGGTAGAGGCAGGCTGGCAGCTCAGCTTCCTTGTGTGCATCTGCACATTCCACAGGTGTTGGCACTGCTTTCATAAGCTCTGGGTGATTTTACAGCTGCATCTGAAGCACTTAAGCCTTGTTATGAGAGTGGGCTCCTCAGGGATGATCTAATGAGAATCTAAATAGATGTGCCATTCCCTCCTGCAGTGGCTGGAGGTAATGAGGCTGCCATCCTAGAGAGTGTAAGGAGAGTCATTTGTCACTACTAGAAGGAGTCGTTATGAAGAGAGAGACTGCACAGGAACCCCAGGAAGTATGAACCAACAGAGACATCTATAAAGCAACACATGCAGGATGATACCACACTAATTATCTGCCTGGTACTGTATAATGCATAATGCATTGTACAACATTATCAGTTCTCTCTAAACAAATTATCTGTGTACCAGATACAGGATTAGCCAGCATATATTTATGGATGTGAGCATGCTTAGTTGTGTCTAGTTGAGATAGAGGGGTTTTATGAAGGGCTTCTTACCTATCTCTGTAGTGTTGGCGACAGAGGCATTGTAAATTGGACATGCCCACATTTTAACTACTCTTTCCCAACAGGTAAACTGTGCTTGTGACTCCTCTGTTGTGATAAGTCCATAGGTCAAGAAATTTCTTTGGGTTCTTCTCTTTCATTGAATATACTGAGTGCTAATGGTAGCAGAAAGGCAGAATAACGTATCTCCATAAAGGTTATCAATTTTAAAGTAACTATATCTTGAGTCCATCTCAGTATTGATTTTTTTTTCTCCTATAAAACGATTTTGCTGAAAAGTACCTCATAATTTCTCAATAGAAACAAAAGATGTAAGTAAGAACAGCTTAAGCAAATTAGGTGTTTCACCATCACAGTATCTCAGAGGCTGGATAAGTAGAACACAATACTTGGATTGCCAAGTAAGGGACCATAGATTAAGATATGAGAGTATTGTTTTAACTGATTGTTCATTCTGCTTTTCAGAGTTAGAGCTTTTTTTTTTCCCTCCATTTTGGTGCCTTTTAGATTGGCAGAGGACTGAAAGAAAAGCTTTTTTATAAAGTAAACATCCGTCTTCCTTCCCCCTCACTCACCCCTCAGCCTCAAATATATAAGACGTGTGCTGAGCCCAAGGTTTCAGGGCCTCTAAAGGGACATAGGAAACGTGTAGCTGAAAGGAGACCTGGAGCTGGTTTTTTGTTGTGCTTTATAGCCCTCCTGTACTTGTCCCCTCTCCTTGGTTTTTAATCTACCTGATTAACAGTCAGCTTTCTACATTCTTTTAAGCCCTTGTGCACACCTGGAAAACAGGGGGTTTGACCACTTTTCCTTATTGTGGTCACCCACACCCATGTAAAATAAGGACCCATGTGGACAGTTTTTGCTCGTGAGAGTGCACACTAGTGTGAAGAATGGCACAAAGTAAAAGGCAGCAGCATTCTTCTGTGGTACACACACAGTCGTGTGTTTGGATATCTGGCTGTTAAGTGTTGATACTTGAGGATTAACCAGTGTGGGTCTGCAACAGCCCTCTTGCTCTGACAGATGTGGGAACAGGGCTGTTGCTGTGGTGGGTTGTTAGGAGGCAAAGAAGAGGTCTTGGTAAGAGTAATCCTACAAATGGAACAAACTGTGCGTGCAAAATGTAGCTTAATTTTCTGCATTAGATTCAGATTTGCTAAATCATCAGTGGTAAAGTATTGTCATGAGAGCCAAATTTGACATTGACCCAGACTTAGGATGGCACCAACGATATGGGCGCAGCCATTACATTACATTGCTTTACAAATTATTTTGCTTTGTCAAAAATTTCATACCAGAGAGCTGAACCGGTGAAAGAGGGTGTAAGGCACAGTCAGGCCTTTTGATAGAGGCCAAGTGACCCAGCTATTTTCCATCTCTAGCTTTTCTATGCTTTTGCTTTAGGGAACTGTAGTAACTGCCAGCACCTGCTTCTGTCTGCTTGGGAGTTGGTTTAATTTGGGTTTGCATCTCAACTACTATGCTCTGTGTCTGCGACTTTTAACTCTGAATATGAATCTCCATACTAAATCATTGCCAAGTAACCTTCCATTCTTCTTTTCCATGCTGCCCATCTAGTCACCAGCTATGAGCACCCAGCTCCTACCTGCATGCCGTCAGAATGAGTCTGAGCTGCTCAAACCTCAACTCCAGCCTGAATATGAATTTTTGTCTCTGCAGGAATATCAGGGGGAAAAAAAAAAAAAGAAGTCACCAGGGCTGCCAGTTCTCGTTATTGTTTGTATTTATATTTTTGGTTCCACTTCTTTTCTCTCCCTGGAGGTTTTGATTCCACCAGTTTTGTTTGGGTTCGATTGGGCTTGCTTTTTTTTCTTTTTTTTTTTTTTTTTTTTATTGCTCTCCCTTTTCTCATTTTGTTTTCTCCATTCTTTCATTGGAGGCAATGAGCCGTCCAGCGGTCGGAACTCCCCTGTCCCCTTCCGGCCCGACAGCCGCCCTCTCACTCCAACTTACGCTCAGGCCCCTAAACATTTCCATGTTCCAGGTAGGAGCTGGCACTGTGTGTGTCTCGGTGTCCTGTCACAGTGTAGAATGTAGCCTTTGTAACCTTTGTCTTGTCTCCATCTTTCCACACTGTTTACCATGGGGTGCACTCTCAGAGGTTGGAACTGCTCCTGGGATTGCTGAGAGGAGCAGTGCGTTAGAAATTAGAAACTGGGGGGGGAAAGGATGTTCACGGTGATTTTTCCCTATTCTGTTGGGCAGCGTTTCACTGTTAGGGTGCCTTGGTTCAGGGTTTGTTGATGGCCTGTGAGCTGGATATGAGCTGTGTGTAGGGCTTGATTTTTCTCCCAGTTGCAACAGCTGAGCACTGGCGTAACTCAGTTTTCTTTGGAGGAGTTGGGTTTTTATTCACTTGAAGAAAAGAGTTGACCAGTGAGCCATTATGCATGTTGTTCATTCAGATTTTTGTGGCTTGTTTCAGTCTTGAACTCAATATTTCTAGTTTAGGGTTCCCTTTGTTTTTTTAAAGCCAGTGAGGATTTTTCTTTCTGTGTTTTATGCAATGGCTTGATGTCCTCAGAGAGACCTGCAGATCCACAAGGATATGTATGCCTCAGGATGTCCTGTTTAAAGGGCAGACTTTGTTTTGAAGTGAGCTACACTGTTCTTCCAGTTTCTGAGAAGATCATCTGTGTTGGGTTTGATAAGATGAGGGTGTATGTCCTTAGAGTAGTGGACAAGTATCTTCTGACTGCATTAGTGCTAGCTGAAAGCCTTATTGTACCCAGTTATTCTTCAGGTCCCCTTCAGTCTAGTATACTTTTGCACTGCCAGAGGTTACTGCCCTTCCTCCTTGCCTCGGATCTGGCAGGTAAACTGTTGGTGGGAAGTTCCCTTGCAGTCAGTGTGACCTGGCCTGGCGAAGGTAGGCTGGTTAACTGCTTCAGCTAACCTGGCTCAGTTTGACTTGCGTAAGCTAAAGCACACTTGCATGAATAGCTCTGAGTAATCGTCCCTAGCATGGTGGGAGAGCTGTCCTCTCCAGCTGGCCCAGAGCAGCCACAGAAGGAGCTCTGTTCCTGGCCTCCTGGTAGCTTTCTGGTACAGATGTGCGCAGACGTGCTGCATGACTTCCCTCCTAATGTTTATACCTGTTTGCTGGTCAAGTAGCCATAACAGATCACTAACAGGAATGAAATACCTCAGTGTCTGTGTGCAGTGCATTTGCCTGTGTAGTCAAGGGTGTAGGGTTCTGCAGACTAAGATTTGCCTCTGTTTCCTCAATGCCAAAGGTGAAGTTGTCTCCCGTAGCACTTTAATTGGACCTGCGATACACCGCGTGTCTTTCTAAAGTGCTTTTTCATCTTTCATGCTAATGGAACTGAAAACTTTATTCAGGCAGTGTGAAGTTGCAAGTTGCAAAATGGGTTTCTTAGTTTTCTAGTTCCCAGTAGTTCGTTTTGATCTTCTAATGAGATTTGGGCAGATTTTTGCACTGTAGCACTGATTTGGGATTAATTTTTCTATTTGTAGCTGTGCCAAATACCTGAAGCGTTGGCTTGGGTGGGAAGGTAGTTTAGAACAAACTGGTTCCTGTCTTAGATTATTATTGGTTAAAATATTGTATCTTTTAGACATGCTGTAGATTCACTGCATTGGAGTTCTGGGAAGTGTTTTTTTCTTCTGATTTGCATTGATAATGTTGAATATGGTGGGCCTTACATTAAAAAAAAATACAAAAAAAAGAAATAAAATCTGTCCTTGTGGTTTGAGAATTAGTAGTGGATCAGTTAACACTACATAAAACATCCCTTTGACTCACTGAAGCGTGGCTGTTGTTGAGTGTTCAAAACAGTGTATTAGGTAGATGGGTTGTTCTCTGGATTTTGAAGTAAACTGTAGGCTCGCTGCATTCTTCTCTGTTCAATCAGCCAGTCAGTTGGAAAGAAAATTGAGCAATTTTCCACAAAAGTTATTTGGGGTAGTTCTCCCCCAAATGACTTGTTCACCATTAAAATGTCTTGCTTGTTTACATTTCTTCTCTAACTTTTATCCCACTGTTAATCTGTATGTTTAAAATTAATGGTTCATGACTTGGATGCATCCACATGTTACAGAATCAGCTCCAAAGGACTTCATACCACATGTCTTTGACTTTTCACTTGTTCTTATGTTTTCTTTTCTTTAAATAATCTGATTTTACATAATACTAGAAATAGCTTTCTGGCTTTTTCTTGTGCTACATCCTTGATTTGGTCTGTCTACTAGTGTTGGAGTTATCCTTATCTACAACCAAAGCAGTTTTCATATTCTCATTTTTCTCTTTCTCAATTTCACAGATCAAGGTGTCAACATTTACAGAAAACCACCCATCTACAAGCAACATGGTAAATGATCTTTCCTTTTTTATTTCAAAACTAGGGTGTCAACTAAATTAAAAGGCATGCAAACTAGAGAAAAGCATTCAGTTTTTACTTTGTAAGCATAAAGGAAATCAGTAGTGCAAGCTTGTAACAGCTGTTATTGCATGTCCTGCTAAGTGATTATGTTTTGAAGCATGTTGTTTCATTTGGATCATATGGTTTAACTCTTGGCCACATTGATATCAATGGCAAAATTGCCATTAACTAAGATTTTGCTGTCTCTGTAGCATTATGACGCATTCCTGTATTTCACTTAAGTTTCTATTTTCAGAATACAGGTACTAATCAGGTTAAAATGGATTAACAACAGACTGTTCTCTGACAGGAATTTCATGGAATATCCTTACTTTAAACAAAGTACAATTGTTTCTTTCAACAGCAAAGATGGAGACGTTATCAGACGTTATTGAAGATAACATAGGTGACTTATCCCTGGCAAGGCTAATTTGATACCCAGGCCCTGTGGTACAGCTCAGGTAGTAGGCTGTACTTGTTTTTCCAGGTGTTTGGATTCTGAGTTGGACAGCAGTGTTAGTGCTGTTAGAAAAGATCAGTGCTCTAACCTTTTCAGTGTAGACAGTGGTGTATTGAGTCTGAAATAACAATGCTGGCAGAAGCCCACTGCCCTGTCAGTCCTTAGTGCTGCAGAGCAAGGTCCTGGTTATAACCAAGTGCGTTCACTCTTCCCTTCTGCTGTTTGAAAGCCAAGGAAAGCTTTGACTAGGAGATGATTTTTAGGTAATCTAGTGAAAGGTGGATGACTCTGCTTTTTAGAGACTCTTGAGTTTGCAACCCTGTGCAGACCCTTTCGCTAATGAAATGTATTCAGGGTTAAGCAGCAAATGGACACTGCTGCAGGGTTTAGGTAGACTGAGAGCCAATGAGCTGAGATGATCAGGAGAGCCCATGAAGTCCGTTGTAGCCAGGAGCGAGCATTCCAAATAACACTGCTGTGGTATCACACCGGGGTTTATACCTCTTTTCTTTTTTAAGTTTCAAACCATATGTTCATTTTGGAAAATGTCTTAACATTATTTTTGTTTATTTTTATGGTTTTAATGTATCTCCTCACCTCCCATTAACATGCGAATGTTTAACCACTGACATCACCAATTCTAATCCGTAAGTACTGTTTGAAGTCATGCTTTTGTAAACTCTGACCAGCTTCCTCCAGACCTGCGATTATGCTTAGAGTTTCCTAATCATAAAATGCTCAAAAGTTCCAATGATATCTAGTACTGATGTTCCTAAACTACCCTGAACATGCTGGATGAGGAACACAGTCCTTCACTATGTTACCTGGTGTCTTTCTGTTTAAAAAAAAACAGTGGAAGGAATAAAGTCCAGAATTCTTGCTTCTGATGTAGTAGTATCATGTAAGAGAAGGTGATTTGAGCTAACAGTTTGAAGAGAAGAGGTAGTTACGACTGGTTTTAATGATGCAAACTGAATCCTATTGGATTCTTTTTTTGCTTTGATATCAAGAAGTGAAAGCCATAATGCACATCCTTACATGCTTTTAAGAGACTTTGGCTTAGGCTGGAATTTTTTGTGGATGACTTCACCTTCTTGGTGAAGTTGATTTCATTGCAAGTTCCTTTCTCTACCAAGCTGCTCTGAATGGAGGTTAGTATTTGCTAATAAATTCACATCTGCTTTTACTGCTACTGCATGCTAATAAGTGAGGGCATGCAGCAGAAGAAAACCACTGGTTAAATAAACATTTCTTTCAGATTTCTTGTTTTGTTTGTTTTGCAGCTTTTCACAGAAACAGGGGAAATAATTAGCATCAATAGAGTTAAAATTAGTTAAAATTAAATCAGTAGAGTTAAAATTAGTGCTGTTCCTCTGAACTTGTTTTCTTGCCCTAGAGGGAAGACAGATCAGTACATAAATCTGGTTTCATCTTCATTAATAATCAGCTGTCCTTAAGAGATGCTGGAAAATACTGTTAGACCGAATTTTCTCACTCTTGCCTAATCATTCTAACACTGTGCAACGTTGGTAAAATCCAAAGCTGATTTGGGGTTAGTTTGGGGGTGGGGGAGGGAGGAGAGGAAGGTTTAATTTCAATCTGTTGGCAAGAGAAAGACATTACTTTGCTTCAAATTACTATTAGAAAAGCAAAACATGAAAATGTTTGCTTTTGAAAATGAACTTGTAAAGTATAAAATTTTGGCAGAATAAGGACGACCTTTATAATGATACAGATTACTACATAGCTAAGTTCCCTGATTGCCATCTAGATGCAGCTGCTTTGGCAGCACAGAGCAAGTCCTCCAAGGATATCATCAAGTCCTCCAAGTTCCCAGCAGCTCATGCACCAGCACCCAACGAGATACCAAAGATTGAGACTGACCACTGGCCAGGTCCTCCCTCCCTTGCGGCCATAGGTACGAAACATAAGTGATACAACTGATGCAGCTTAAGAGGTACTGGTAACCCCTGTAGATTAATACTGGAGCTGAAAAAATATATAATGAAGATTGTGTCCACTCCACGTGCTCACCACAAAGTGCAGTTCTGCTGGTGAGACTTCTGTGTGTCTGTGAATTTAAAGCTATTGAACAGGGCTGACTATAAAAGGTTTTGCTAAAGGACTTTGGAGTTAATCACAGGGATATTAACATAGGCAAATCACGTGAACTCTTGTGCAGTAGCTTAAAAGTGTGTCACACAAGCCTGACTTCTTTCAGTTATTGTCTATTTGATCTTTTATGCCTAAAATAATAGCAAATATTCCACAGAAAAGATGGTTGCTTCCAACCACATGGCAAGAAGCAATGATTGAAGTGGAACAATTAATGGACTAAAAAAGTTCTGATTTTGAAATTTCTACAGACTTTGTATTTTTTTTTTTTTGTGTTGTAGCACTACAGACACCTTGTTTTCTTTTCTTTAAATCATGTGCATCATCATTTTTAAACTTTGGTTTGTGTTTTTCCTCTCTTCATTTTTATTGACCCCTATAGCGTAAAATAAGCTATCTAGCCCTGTTCATTTATGAAGTCATGTCTGAAACACTGGAGGTGTTGCCTGTTTCAAGTTTCTGTGTGGTGTATGGTTTTCGTCGCAGTGGGATTTTCATAGAAGTGCTGGGAGAGGAGATGCAGGATGGGAGAGCTCAGTGACCAGTCAAAGGGGCTGCACGTGAAGCAGCAATTTTTTGAAAATTAATTATATATAGGATTGCAACCTGACAAACATTACAGTGACTGTGATAACATCTACATACTGGAAGCTCTCCTGATACTGCTGGTGATAACGACAGCGTTATGATGTCATACGCCTGAGGTGGAGCCTTTGTTGGAAATTTTGGCTCTCAGCTCGGTCCCTACGCAGTGGTTAACAACGTTTAATTGTTTCCAGTAAAACTATTTTGTATATTGGCTATCAGGTGATTTTGTTAGACTTAAGAAACTGAACAAGACTGTTTGGAAACTATAAAGATAAAAATGATGCACTCATGGATGTATTTTAGACAGAAATAAGAAGGCATCATAGAAGATCAATCACTAAAATGTAGTGAATTAAACTGTAGAACACCTAAAATGTAGAACGACCATGTATTTTTTCTTTATCCAGTGGATCATATTAGTTTCCTTCATTTTAGACTAAAATGAATGCCTTGTTTATTCCAAATATAAGCATCCATTTGGGAGATTAATGTAGTTTAATTTTCCATTTGAAATGTTAATTCAGATCTGCTTTTCTAAGTCAAGATAAAAGTATAGATGTAAATCAGACTTTATGTTTTTAGGCACTGACAGTTACTGGTGCCGTTAAACCCCATGTTTGCAGAACTAGCGACGTGAGCTCCTTTTTTCCCCTTACATTGATTCATGGCTTTTGTATCCAGGACTGTTGCTTGGTTTGGAAATGATGTGCAGTTTAACTTCTTGTTAATTTTATAAGAAGCCTGAGAGCCATAGGGCAGGATGCCTGAGTGAGTTTTATTAAGAGTGAGTTTTGAAAAAGTCTTTTCAGTCTGCAAGAAAATACTGCTTTGTTTATTCAGTAAATCAAACTGACCACTACTTTGAGCTAGCATTGAAATCTTCAAGCTGGGGTTGAACTAATAGACAGAGCTCTCTCTGTACTGTGGTTTTGTGGAAGCAGGAGCTGACATGAGACGCAGATCAAGTGGAAGAGAGGAAGATGATGAGGAGCTACAGAGACGCCGGCAGCTGCAGGAGGAGCAGCTCATGAAGGTGGTTATAAGCTTGTCTTCATGCTCTTTGTGAGCACCATCCAAAAAGTGCCCCTTTGGTTGCTGTAAGCAATGTCTACTGGTGCCTTGATTGGCTTTATTTTATTGATATAATTTTTTTTAATTGCCCTCTATAGCTCAACTCTGGTCTGGGACAATTGATATTGAAAGAAGAGATGGAAAAGGAGAGTCGTGATAGGTCAGCCCTTTCTGCCAGTCGTTACGATTCCCCAGGTAATTCATGTAGGCAATAAAGCTAATAGTGAACAGTGAATGATGCACACCCCATAATACGCATATCAAACAGTCTCCTAGAAGGAAGACCACTTGATATGTGTATATGTGGCCTCCCCTAAAATAGCAGCCTAATTGATGAGCTGGTTTTAGCAAGAGTAGGAGCATCATGGCTGTTTTCTAATTAGAAGTAATATGAGGTTAAGGATTTTTAGGCAGTTTTGAGGGATTTTCCAAGATAGGTAAAGAGTGAGGTAAAATACTGACTGACTATCACATCACACACAGGCTCATAGGCTGGGTTATAAATTACAATACCACGTTTTGCTTAAACTGGTGGTTCCTGTCACTGTTAAGTCTCTCCTTGCAGGGACAGAAAATGGGCAACATTTACCAGTGAGGCTGCAAATTCCAAGCACAGGCAGTGTTTTGGCCTTGGCTGAGATTTTGATGGGATGTATTCTGTTCCAGAGCAAAAGCACAAAAGTCAGTTTTGGTTAACTGGTGGCTTAGATTCTTGGCCTCATTGCACATTTTGTTACACCTCTGTGGCTTTCTTGGATCTCCAGAGAAGGGTTTGGGGGTTTTATTTCACTGTCTTCATCCACCAATCATAGTAGCACAGCAGCTGTACTTTGAGCCAAGGAGGGACAAGATGAGTCTCTTTGGAGTCATCCACTGGAGTGGCTGCCAAGCAAACTAAGATATCCTTGTGTTCCCTGTTGTGTAAGTGTTTCATCTATTTATGGTCTTGGAAAGAACATCTGTGGCTCTTCCTCACTATCTGTATTTTTACAGGATCAGAGTTTACCTGCTTAACTTAGAGCTTAAGATTTCTTTTTTTTATTCACCTCAACACAGGTTGGAGGACTCCTTTATTGGAGATGTGTCCATCCTGCTTTGCAGTGATAATCAGTCATTAGTTGCCTATTGTGGAATCAATGGTACTTTTCCGAAAGCTGCTTATTGCTGGCAACAACAGTGCCTCAAGTTGTGCATTCCCTGTCCTTCTGTGCTAAAAATTACACTTAAACAACCAAAAATTACATTTTTATATGGTGGGTCTTGTCTGAAGGAGCTGTGTTAAATGTAGAGATGCTACTGATCATTCTGGTGACAATCTTATCCATCTTTTTATCTGTATTTGAAAACATACCCTTGACATTTCCATAGTGTCCCTATCTTGCTTGTGCAATATCTGAGGTCAGTGCAAATGCTAAGTTGAGTGCCCCCAGATACCTTACTTCACCTTTGATTCAGATGAAGGTAGGAGTCACAGAACCCTGTTGAATCATGTCACACTCTCAGAAGTGTCACATCACGTACAGGATAACTGTAATCTCAGATCAGAATGCCAAATTCTCAAGCTGGTTTAAATTCACTCAGCACTACCCATTGTGATCCTTCTCCCGTGGAAGTCAGCACCAAAATATCTGTCAATGACACTGTTACAGGATGAAAACTAAAAGCCTTTTCTCCTTTGTAGCAAGAAATGGTGAGCTGAAGCATGTGAATGCAGAGAGGATGGTGTGTGCTGGTCATATGGATCTTGGCTTGTGCAGCAGCAGAAGCTGGGAGCATGAGTGCAATGGGAGTTGCAGTAGAAAGGACAGAAAGGAAATTTAGGAAAGATTCAGCAGATATAGTTATATATAAACCATGTGCCACTCAGGAGAGTGGAATTGAATGGACCTGCATGAGAGACTTAACAGGGAACCTATCCAGTCAAATAATTGGATTCTCCTTGTTCCTTTATCTTGGTCCTGCCATAAGACACACAGCAGTACTTTAGCTATTGTCTAAAAAGTCATTTTGCTCTATTGTCTGATCATTGAGCATTACTCAGCAAAGAATACTTTGATTTTGAGCCTGGAAAAATCAGTGTCCCTTCTTGATGACCTGCCACCATGGCATGAAATGGCTGTATGTAACTTACAGAATGTATGGAAGGTTTAGGGCCAAGATGTTAGTGTCTTAAAGTCAGTGTGTCTCAGCTGGTTATGTGTATGCTTAGCTCTTTTAACTATGTTTTTTTATGCTGGTTGATTCCTCACATGTTCTTTGTTTTGAGTTTCCATGAGATTTTTCTAGTAAAAGATTTTTCCCTTCCTCATTCAACAGCACATGGTTCAGCCTCCAAAACCTCTTCTCTCCCTGGCTATGGAAAAAATGGACTTCACAGGGTAAGGAGATAATGATTTGAGAAGCAAAAGGTTGCTTTAATTATCCATGTTGTTTATTTATTTCCATATTAACTGTACTGGATTTTCAGTTTGGCCAAGGTTTCTTGTAGGACCATCTGAAGTAAGACAAACCCTGATTTCGCTTCCCTTACACTACATTGTTAAAAAGGCAAGAAAGCCATGCAAGAAATGTTGTGAAAATCGAGGGGGGGATAAAAAGCGTAAAGCAATTTATTTCTCCCCATTTACCAACCTGCTTGTGAAGTCATGAACATTTATGTGCATGTCCCTCTTTTGCTCTTACAGCCGGTGTCTACAGATTTTGGTCAGTACAACAGTTATGGGGATGTGAGTGGTGGTGTTAGAGGTAAGGCTGAGGAGCCTTTTTACATGCCACTTCATGACTGACCATGTTATCGTGTTTGATCATGTCTGCTGTTTTATTTTAATGTTGTGGATATGATTAGTTTGTATTTGCTCAGTACCTTGTAACTTCTGCCAGTAAACTCAACAATTACCTCTGAAAATGCCTGTTGCTTTGGGTTTGTTTTGCTAAATATGCTATATGGAGCTGATCTTTATGCCAAGGGACTGCTTTAGCGTTGGTGCAAACAGAAAGCAGGTAACCTGTATGCTATCAGGAGTATGTATTTGAGTTCTGCTATAGTGTTTTCTTTCTCTGAAAATTACCATCCCCTGCACAGTCTGAAGGAATGTGTCACAGTGAACAAAGGAGTATAATGCCTTCTAATCCCCATTATGTGCATGACTTTCATTATGACTTTGAGCTAGATGTCTTATCAGTCATTGCCGAATAAAAATTGACAATTAGGATTTATGCAAGTTATGAAACTTTGAGAGTAGATGTTTTGAAATTATTTTGAAAAGGTTTGAGCTGAGAGCGAGAGGCTAGTTATCTCCAGAGGGAGATTGATCCTGACTATCGTAGATACCCTATGATCAGGCATCTTGTATTGGTGCTTGTGTCTCGTACAGACTGCAGAGCAGTCTACACAGCTACCTGATGGCACAGGCTAGGGGAGAGGAATCCTGCTCCGCACATTCAAATTCTGGTTGGCTCTTTATTCTCTTCCTTGTGGTTTTGTGTCTCTTAATACTTCCAAAGTGACTTGATTTTCCTAAATGAGAAGGCTCCTCAATATTGCTCAAGGCTGCAATACTTGGGAGTGTTTGATTCTTTAGGAAGGTTGCTGGCCTTTAAGAATTGGGTGGGATTTTTAAAAGATCAGGCAGACCAGAAGACACAACGATTTTCTGGAAGTTTAGTACTGATTCCTGTTCTTCCATACTCTAAAGCTGATGAGTTTTCTCTTTTGCTTTCCAGATTTCCAGGTAGAGTACGGGTTTTCATCAATCAACTGACAACAGAACTAAAAGCTTCTACTTTCTTGTTGAAGTCTGAATTTCTACTACAGGGAAGGGTTTCTTAAGACAATAGCTTTGATTTTTCCTGCATGTTTAAGCATAATCACTAATGTAGATTCTCATCAACAAAAAACAGACACAGCCTCAGATTCCTCCTTGTTACCTCCCCAGAACTGGATTGAGACAGCTCACACCAGTTCTGTCACTTGCTCTGTAAAATCCACTGTCTGTTGGTATATGAGTTATCTGTAATAGTCCTCTCTGGACAGCTGAGAGTGTATTTTATTTCCAGCCTCTCTAGTACCGACCTCAGAGACATATAGAAAGTCTCTTCTGGAGGAGGTTTTTTTCCCATACCAGGAGCACTGAATTCCTCATTTTCACCCTGGAATTTGCTCTCCAGACAAGATGGCTGATCAGTAGTTTTCTACAGTGTTGCCATTGGAGATGATCCAGTAAGAGATGTGCTTGCAAATATAAACCCTGTTACTCCAAATCCTATCTGCAGGGTCTTTTTCCAGAATGGTTTGAATCTGGCTGGCTCCTCAGCAGAAATAAAATATGAAATGGCATTTTAAGGAAGGGTTTAATTACTTGGATGGTTTTGTTAATGGTGTATCAAAATCATGGTGATTGGAAAGAGAACAAGATTATGGGAGGAGAGAGGAGTTGTCCATGTATTGTGCTCAAAGTATTATTTTGTTAGGAGCAGTGCTTGTGTCAAACAGCACCTTTCTACCCTATCCCTGTTTGTTTTCATAGTAAAAATTTCCCATTGTGGAGACCAAAAAAAAAAAAAAAAAGATCCTTCAGCTGAAACAGTAAGTGACAGGAAGGAAAGCCAAGAGGAGTGGGAGTGTTTTGTATATTGTTGGGTGGATCTGAATTAATGCTTCCATGTTTTTGTCCAGAGAAGAACTCTGCTTAGTCACTGGGATGGGAGAGGGCCCACCACCCTCTGGAGGTCCCCAGGTCCACCGAAGATGTGCTGTCGCTAGGCACAGTGGGCAGCTATCATCAGTCAGCCTTAGCAGAGACAGAAGGCTGTGGTGGCAGAGAGGATCAAAGGATCCTCTCCAAACAGTAGCCATAGCAATGATCTAGATGATAAGACTAAATATTAAGACTTGAAGGAAGTCTCAGGGCAAACTCACCTTTGTTTTCACCGCTACTTGAGTGCCTTTTCCCTCTGTGTGTGTAACCTGTGTGTCTGATGTGTACCTGTATCTGATGCAGTCCCTTCCGGATGGTCATGTCCCTGGAATGAGAATGGACAGAGGAGTATCTATGCCTAACATGTTGGAGCCAAAGGCAAGTGCAGATGTTATTCACTTTCCTTCAAGGCAGTGAAGATTTGACTGTGAAATGCAGATAAAATACGGGAAATGTCTTAGCTCCCTTGTTCTTCTTTACCTCACCTCAGTCCCTGCTCCTTATGTGCCAAACCTCTCCCTTTGTTCTGGACTTTGCCTGTTGCAGGTGTTAGTACCCAGGCAGGCTGAGGGCAGCCAGGGGTGCTTCTTGGGGTAAAGAGGCTTTTCTAGAGACAAAGCAAAGATCCTGAAGATGTTCCGTAGCTAGTTCTCTGTCAAGCTCTCACTAGCCAAAACAGCAGGCCAGACTGTAAGAAAGTCTCAGATCTGTTAGCTTGGAAAAGGGATGCAGAATATTGTGGCTTAAAACACACTGTCAGTACTGTTGAGGCTGTCTTAATTTAAAAATTCATTAAATACATGAATCTTTGCTTCAGATTGGAAGTTACATGCCTACATGTCTGTCTGGATCTGTTCTTTAGCTCTCAGCACTGTTAGCCTGATATCTTTTAGTGCTGAATTTCCTATATATGAAATTCTTCAGGAGGTTTATTGGAAAAAGAGGCTATGTCTAAAGACGTCCAGGTCAAAATTGAAAATAATATATAGATGGGATTCAGCCAAGACTGTGTTTTAAATCTTACAACTTTATTGTTGGTGAACCTTCCAAGAAATGGTGATTTTGCCAAAGTTACAAGGACCAGCATTTCTGTAGTTAAGTGAGGAGCTCATTTTACAAACCAGATTACTGCTTGTGCTTCTGAGTCACCTCCAGACAAACTGTACAAGGCAATAACCCTAGCTTTATAAGCTGATACCCCAGTGCGATGTATATTAACAAATGTTTTTATATATTATATAAATAAGACCCTGGGGACCTCAGCTCCTGAGGTACTACTTATTATTCCAAATGATCTCTCTTTCACTGTATTAGAAATACTTACAGCCACCACTGCTGTTGATGCACCCATTGATTTAGAATGTTATTTTGGGTGACAAATTCTGTCAGCATTAATACTGATAAAATTTATGGGAATTTTAATAATAGGTCACTTTCTGTTAATGTTTACAAAGGTAATGTCAGACTCTCAGCAGGTGTGAACTGGCAATATTTTTATTCATGTCAATGGCCCAACAATAACTTACACCTGATAAAGTAAAAGAAGCCAACTCAAAGTCAGCATGAAACACATGAGAATTAGTAAACCAAATCTTACCAAATGGTTCTCCAGAAAGGACAGAATTTGTGCATCCTGCCATCCCAGATTGAGACATGCCTTGTTGTGAATATCTAAATATAAAATGTACTTATGACTGTAGATCTTGACAAACTCTGCCTGTTTAAATATGAAAAGTTACATTTTAGTTTCCTATAATGCTGTATATGGTAGCTGTTTCCAGTATCAAACATAAACAATGTAATTCAAAGTATAGACCTAATTGTACAATTGTGACAATGTCAGAATCTCCTAAGAGTCATATCTTACAATTGGTATGTAAGCACACGTTATTTAAATTATTATTACTTACAATAAACTCAGTGGTGTGTTCATTGATGCCTGAATCTTATTTATTATATTTCTGACAAGTTCATTGGGGTAATTGTTGACAATGGAATGAACTTAATTGCCTAGTACTGCACAGAAGTTGGTTAAATTGAATTTCTCCTCATCTTAAAATAATTGAATTAATAGTTTTTGATAATAGCTCAGCTACCTCTCCAGGAGAGTTTTGGCGGCCTCACTCTTGTTCCCAGTGGGCAAGTAAAACAAGACCCATAAATAGCAGTAAAGACTGAGCGAGTTGCCACTGAAGTCTGCAGGAAAACTTCATTGACTTCCACAGGCACTGGACAAAGATCTCACTGGGAATGCTGGTTGGCAGAGACATGCAACAAGAAGTGCTATAGAGAGACTCTATCAGATGGAACATGAGCTCTCCTCAGTCATTCCAGACGTTTATGGAACTGTCTGCACAGGGAAAAAAAACTTAAAGCAGAGTTTTACTTGCTACAGATGATTCCAGAAAATCACTTTAAGGCACGTGATTTTCTGTAATCCTTTCTAAGCAACATTGTTTCTATTGGATTTGACTGATTTGAGACTCATTGTCAGTGAACATTTTACTTCAAACAAAGAACCTGTACATGTAAAACAAAAGTAAAATCATATATGTATAAGTTCTGGATGTTCTTTACAATGTAAAAGAGTAGTCAAGGAAAATGTTAATGGGATATGTGCTGGACACACTCTTCTGAAGGAGATGAAAGTGTGTAAGACACCTGTGTCTACAAAAGTATCTCCTTAATCCACGTATGTATGGCACAGCCAGCAAGCACAGCAGGTAGTTTGAATTCTTTAACTGTCCAAAACAGCAATGAAAATCATGTGAGGAATTCTGTTCAATGCAGTGGCCCCCCCAAATGAATACTTTGCTTATTAATTTGCTTATTTTGCTTATTGCTGCTTTTTTAATGTACTTTCATCTGTTTCATCTTTTAAAAGTCCACTAAGTGCTTGTTTCCTTAGAGCTGTCCACACTTCGGCAACAATCGGTTAAACCAACGAGTGACAAATCATTCACCTTAATAAATTTATACATGGATGGATGGAAAAGTGTATTGGCTAGAGAGGGCTGTCTGACCAAAGCCAGCTGATGTATTAGATGCACCATACAGATCAGTGGGTTGGGCAAGGACATACAAGGGGCTCTAAAATATGAAGCAGTTTGATACTAACCAAGTCCTTGCTATGTCCAGATTAACTTGTCTTTCACGCAGCTCTAGGAGGAATAGCTGTAGTTTCCTTTGCAAAAGAAAACTGATGTTTGTGTGGTTGTGAAAATGAGACACGCTGTGTTCTTACTGCTTTAGAATATAAATACATCTTTTTTTCCCCCTTTTATACATTGTTAACAGATTTTTCCATATGAAATGCTCATGGTGACCAACAGAGGGCGAAATAAAATACTAAAAGATGTAGACAGAACCAGGCTGGAGGTAAGAGAAGCAAGTTCCTAAATGCTCTTTCCTGCTGAAGTTGTTTGTTGTTGAACAATTGAGTACTCAAAACAATGGAGTGTGGGTCCTTGTTAGACTGGGGAGATTTCTCATCACTGAGCAGGGAAGGAGGAGTCAGATGGGGGAGGAAGCAGCTGCATCTCCATGAACAGTGCTGGGCTGTGAGTCCTACACCTCTGTCGCCCTGCTCATGGACTGAGCTTCTCACAAACCCCTTAAGTTTTCATGCAATTGATTATATTCTTGTTAATTGGTAAAAAGCCCAAGATTGGTGAAGAGTTTTGTAGTCATAGGATCCATATTGGAATGGAGCAATACTTTGATCATGGATCATCTCTTAGCTATGAGTCAGTATCAGCCATCCTTGAGGATCAGAAGTCTAACTTTCTTTAATTCATACACGAGTCCTGTGAGTGAGTAAGACTGGCTGATACCCAAAAATATGAGGGCGTAAATCTCTGCCAACAAATAAAAATTGTTTACAACTTTGTGGATCAGAAAAACTTAAGCAGCCCAGTGGAAGGCTTGGGTTGTTTAAGTCTTTTGTAGTTAGTTAATCCTCTGTGGAGATGAATGGAAGTGGCCACAAAAATTTTGGTAAGTAACCATTTATGGACATTTTTAGACTGGTAGATATGTGATCACTAATCAGAATTCAACTGTGTTACATTAGTGCCACAGGGAGATGTTTCCCCCATTCAGTGCAGTCTAAATTAGCTGAACAAGAAGTAACTTGAAAGACTTTTTGGTGCTGTCTTATGCACATTTGCATTAGAGAAATGTGCTGGACAATCAGTCTGGCCAGACATCTTCCTTCTCAGAAGTCTGCACATAGCATGTCAACCTGCAGCCCTTCTGCAAAGCTCTCCTGAAACCCAGTGTCTCTTTGAACTCCCACATGTAAGCAGAGGTGACTTGCTAAAGCCTGGGACAGGGGGGAGCAGGAGCTGGTGGTGTTCTCTGGTCTATCCCTGCTTGTTGGATGACTTCAGACACACCATTTTTCAGTCTCTTGCTTATTTAGCAACTGAAATAGTTCTCCGGATTCCCTTTGTAAACTTCTCAGAGTTAACAAATCACAAGATTTTATTGGTTCTCTGAGCACCCGAGTTCATGAGGACTTGGATACGTCTTGCTAAAGCACTCTTAGTTCCTGCAGTGACACAGTGACATGAAATCCCTAAGGCACTCCTATCTCCTTTGTGTCTCTGCCTTTGACTGACCATTGCCTTTTCTCCTTTTTTTGTTTTCTCCTCTTTTTTTTTTTTTTTTTTTTAAAGCGCCACTTAGCACCTGAAGTTTTTCAAGACATATTTGGCATGACGATACAGGAGTTTGACAAGTTACCCCTCTGGAGACGCAACGACATGAAGAAAAAAGCAAAACTCTTTTAATCTTCCTTTAAACAAACCAACAAAAAATGATGTGTAGGATATTGTATCATACAGTCCGAACTATTTGGAAGCAACTACTTATGCACCAAAAAGGGAAAATGACCTAGTGGCACCTCTGTACAGAGCCATTGAACAAGATGAACATTTGCCCTCCTGGAATGCAGGGAGAAAATCATGTGGGCTCAGAAAGAGCAATGAGAGTTTTCAGAGGTGTCGACCTGTTAAATGATATTATACAAGATAGGAAACTGTTCTGTTCTTCTCCCTCAGTGATATTCCCTTTACTTCTCTCCACAATATGATGGACTTTATTGCTAGAGCCAGGAAGTGCCCTTAGGATGCCTTGTAGACTAAAGTAGTTGTAATCACTCCAAGAACTGGAAAAGGATATATATATATATAAATATATATATATGTGTGTGCATGTTTGCGTGTGCGCACATGTATTTATATCTATCCATCTATCAATGTATGTGCGTGTATGTCTGTGTATATATGTGTGTATATATGGAGAGGAAGACAAATCGATGCTCTGTAGTGAGGGAGAAGCCCTTTGTAACTTATCTACATGGTCACATTAAGTCTTTCACACAACTGTTCCTTAATTGACACTCTTTTGAAATGAATCTTCTTCATGTGATGGAGTCTGCAAAGGCTCTGCTCACTTACGGGACGTACCCGTTCAGTTTCTGGAAAATGGGCTCCTTGTATATATTGGCTAGGATGTAGGAAGTGAATTGCTGTGTCTGTTGTCAGTCTTCCCTCTTCCACACTTTCTGCTTGAATTAATAAGGCTGGAGCTTAACCAGTCTTTTGAGTAATTTAAGATCACTTAGTAATGGGAATGATGGAGAAGTGTCAGTTTTCTTGTAATTTAGTCCCGGAGATTGGTGGATGGGGGTGGGAGTGACAGAGTGAGAAAATGCTTTTTTAAGTGTGCCCTGGTTCACACCCAGAGATTTCAGGACAGACTCCCTGCGAGTAACTACTAGTACAGCTCATCAGACTGCAGTGGAGTTGTAGGATTTTACGTCAGCAGGGAAGATGGCTCTCTGCAAGCTAACACAAAAACTCATCCCTCTTAGGGGGAAATGTTTGTGAATGGAAAGGTACCATCAAGGTGCCATGCTCTGCCAGTAGAGGCTTTTTGATTAAACTGCAGTTGCTGGTGTCAGTACGGCACAGTGCATGGGGCCAAGCACTCTTTTTAGTTAAAGTAGGTTTTCACTTGTGCTTGGAAAAGAGGGCACAGAGTTTTTTTCCCCCCCCCTCTCTTGAAGCCAAAGCTCCAGCCTTGGTTATTTTTATTTCCCTTTGTGCCTGACTTGGTTTTTGAAGACAGAGTAATCATGCAAGACAGTTTCTGAGCTGCATTGAACTCCTTATTGCTTTCAGTCTTCTTCCAATATTTTAAGCTGCAGCTTAAAAACCTGCCTGTATATACCTTAACTGCTTCTGGGCAAGTCCTGTACAGAAGAGGACGTGAGCACCAAAGTAATGAATGAATGCATTGTGGCTGCAAGGCCAGCTTTTTCTCTTCCATGGTGCTTAACTGCCAATGCATACTGCACTAATGAGCCCGTCTCCTGGTACGGGAGAGGGTCATTTAGGTTCTGTGTCTGTCAAAGAATATCAAGGTTTCATTTTTTAATGCAGAAACTTCTGGCACTGGAGGCATCAGAACCTTCATATTTTCTGTTATAGGAGACATTGGTGTTAAAATCTGGAAGTCAGGAAGGGAAAACAGTCCCATGTAGTTGTGAGATTCAGTATCACTGTGTTGAGTTCTCTATATCACCAGATGGCATTTCACCATGAAACGTGCAGGACAGCCCAAATCCTGCCTCTTCTTTGCTGGGTTAGGAAATCTTGTTGCAACAGATCACTGTGGTTCCTTTGATAAAATCTGAGTTGAAAGTTTAGTATATGAGAGACAGATAGAAGAGGTCAGCACCTGCTCTGTGTCCCTAGAGCTGAGGGAATGGCGAGTCTATGGGACAAGCTGGAGAATATGCTAGCCATGCAGATGTGGCAGCACGGTCCCCACTGGACAGAGGTTCTCAGTGACACACACAGCTGTGAGTAAGCTCTCTGAGTGTTACTGAGGTTGAGCAGCAAGGACCAGTTCAACATGTCTTCCTTCATTTTTCAGAACAAGCATCTGAGGGTTTCAGAGGAGCACTGAGAAGTAAATGGGAATGTGAAGGGCACTGGCAGTTTGAGATGCATTTTTGAGTGACTGCTGAAACCAAATCCATACAATGAAAGAACAGCAGTGTTTTACAGCCACAGGCTTTACAGATGCTGGACTCTCAGAAATTCAGTCTCTGTCACCTGCAAGGTGTGGCTTAACTTTAGGATGAACCTCTGAGTTTTAATGCATTTAAAGTATTAAAATTCTGCAAATGTCAGCCCACATCCTATAGACCATACTGTGCTTCTGCCTCTCAACCACAGTAGGTTTTATGGATCTTTGGGCCTAACTCACCCTGACAATAAACCCTTTCGATCTGAAGACTTGCTCTCTTGAGGATGTGAGCTGCCAGTCTGCATTTTTTTGTCCCTATCTCCATATTACTACTGAACTTCTGTACAGCATATATGAATACACTACCCAGTCACCGCAGAGATGACTAAGTCGGGTTGTTTTCTCTCTCCTCCCTACAAAAAAAAAAAAAAAAAAAAAAGGCAAAAAACTCCTAACCTGTGAAGAATGATGAAGAATGACACAGGTAATTTGTGTCTGCCTCATCATCTGAGAATTTTAAGACTGCAATTGCACCTTGGGAAGGAATGAAGAGAAGCCAGCTTAGATGCTGCAGAAACAATTAGTCTGTAACTGGATTTTTGGGCCACTGCTGGTTCATATCTCAGTGGTGTGGAGCACAGCCAGCTCACAGCCCCCTGCACTAGACTTAGTACTGCTTTATTTCTGATTGAGAACATGAAGGGTTTTCTGAGCTTCAGTTTCATGCCTGTGGTTAATTCCTGTTAACTGTCCCAGCAATCTAGATGTAGACACACCCCAGGAGATCACCTGTCCATGTAAACCACACCACAGACAGCCACGGGGGGGGTGGGGGTGTTTTCTCCAGTGGGCTGTTAGTGATTGTCACTGCAACATTTTCTCATCTTTCATCTGGTCTTCCCACCTAATAAAGACAGAAATGAAGCACCAGGGAGGATTTTCTTTGTAAAGCAATGAATCATTTTCCTAGTATCAATGGAGTAGCATTTATTTGGGCAGTTCTGTGTAATTCCCCTCTTCAGTATTCCCTTGAGACGTGTCAGGGGTTGGACTAGATGATCTTTAAAAGTCCCTTCCAGCCCAAACCATTCTGTGGTTCTATGGATGTGCTTTAAGTACTTGCTCACCTTCTCCTGCAAAGCACTTGAGCTTCTGATAAAGTCTCATCAGAGTCAGTGCTGTCACCAGAACATGATTGCCAAGAGGACTGAAAACTGTTTGGGTTTTCATCTTGTTTTTTCCCCTTTTCTGCTTCAGGAGTGATGTAAGAGCAAAGGCATGTCAAAACATTGCACAATAGCCATGTGTGCAGAACAGGATGATGTACACATGCAAGTTCTCAAGCACAGGTGCACATGTAGCACGCACACTCCCATTTGGAGCTGAAATACTAGGTGAGTAGTTAGCCTGGAATTTCCAGAGTGCATAGCATTGTATAGATAGCGGCCATTGAGTTGCCAAGGGTGTCATTCACACCTGTGCTTGTGTCTGGGGGCTGTGGGCAGATGTGATGTATTGAGTGTGCAAAGGCAGGGTCAGGTTCCCACGTCAGGGAAGTACCAGGCTGGCCACAAGTGATACCATTCAAAAGGCCTCCTCAGGCGTTTGTGGATGTTTGCAACACTCATCCCTGGCAGTGTTTAGATGGAAAGGCAGTACCCTGTGCAGTAGCCTTCCTGTTAACAGGGAGTCCAGAGATCTGACTTACTGGGTTTTGTGCCCTCTCCAGGTACTGGTCTGATGTTGTCCCTATTAAAAAGTAAGGAACTGCTCTGCATTGCAGAGGGAGTAGCTGAGCAGACCCTCTATACCCGTGCCTTAACTTAGAGTAGTAAGCTCCGGCCTGTTATGAGTCAGAACTTAGAGTAAATATGTTGTTCATCATCTCTGAAGGTGGTAGAATTAAGCCAACTTGAAGAGCAGATTTGGAAATTATTAAACTCTCCACTATTTCTCAATGAAGTAATGTGATCTATTGTGATCTCAGTTCAGGAAGCTGAATGTAGCATCTCAACTCTGCCAGTGTCCTATCCCAAACCTGCTAAACTTTCTCTACAACTCAAAGAGAAAGTCCTTGTGAAGTTTGCTCCCAGAATTTTTTTTTCGTTTGTTTTATTTTTAATGTTATCATCTCATGCTGGTGTCATTTAAGGCAGGTTTTAGAGGCATTTCAGAAACATGCTTGTTTTCAGTTTGGTTATTAGCCTTTCATTAAATACAGTTTGTGATGCCTTGTGGACATAGCTGCAGTGTGCTGTGAAAGGTTAGACTAGGAGAACAGTGAGTTTCTTAATAGCTGTATGTGGGACAAAATAGCTTTATGGCTCTACTACTGCTTTTACTTCTGTCAGGACAGATGTCATCTCTCCTTATGGAGTCCTGTAGTCCTGTGTCAGCGGGCTGAAGTGAAGTGCTTGCTGCCCTTTCCCTGTTGCAATTTGGAAATCCTTTCTCAGCCATGTAGTTCAGATGTTCTGCTGTTCAGGGGAGGTCATTAGGAGTCTCTTTTTTAAAAGCTCGTTACACTGAAATTAGACACGTTTTGAAGTGAGAACTCTCTGCAAGCCATGCTTCTCCTGGTCAGGTGGTATTGATGGATGGAGAGGGGTTAAGTTCTGGGAAAGGAGGAGGGCTGGCATAAGCTTCATTTCTCCAGGATTTGCCAGGGTGATGTTTAGCAGACTTAGAAGAAAACACAGGCATGAGCCTGTGGTGCCTGTTTCAGACTGCGGGGAAGTCAAGTTTGGAGCCCATAGCTTATGAGCATCTACACTGAAATTAATGGCATGAGGGTGTTACAACAAGTGACAGAAAAATTAACCCACAAAACAGTAAAAATATAAAAATCCTCTAAACTCATCTTGGAATAACTTATCTTGGCTCATCCTGACTTAGGAGAAGATTTTCGCATATTTGGGCCTTGTAGACTAAATGGAAACCAGCATCTCTCCCACTCTGTGATTCATTGCTTTCCTTCAGGATGTATTTGTGGAGGAGGATGTCCACATCCTGGAAGTTACCCATGGCAGTGAAAAACACCAGTCAATGATAATGATGATGCGCATGCAGGAAACAAGAAGATCAACTAATGTGTGCTAAAATGCCACTCGTCTCTCCATGTCAGAGAGACACGTAGGGCTTGACTCCGCAGCCCCTTCCCCGTTCAGTTAGCCCCACGTCCTGGTCTAGTTTGTGCCCTGTCAAATTCTTTGGCCCTGTCAACACACCTGCTAGAGTCCAGCGTAGTCTTCAGGGCAGACACATAGCAAGGTCT